CCAGTTAGCTCAAGATATTGCTTCTCGCCCAAAACCTCACTCCAATCCCAATAAGCATTTTAATTAACAAAAGAAAATCCTAAATGTGAATTGAAACTTAATCTGCAATTGCACAACACACATCCCAGCTGTGCTGCTTACCACTAGAGGGCAATAGAGATGCACATGCCAGCCTTGATATCTCCCTGTAGGTATGATTCTCATTGGCAAGGGTGAAAGATGAACTCTGAGGCCCATTTCAGCCAAATCTCTGATTTGGAAAATCAGCATGGCAATACCCACACAGGGCTGACATCATTTGTGGCTGAAGTCCTTGGAATACACTTTTGCTGCAAGAATAAGATTTTCAAAGGAAAAACAAAAACGCTCTGTGCTTAGCAAGGATAGGACATTTTATAAACAGTGCAATGGAGGTCAGGCAGTCGATTACTTAGACAGTATGCCAAGACTGTCTACTACTCTGTACAGTGCTTAGCAAAACAGGGCTAGATCTTGCTTGGTTCTTGAGCATGACTAATAAATAGGAATTTATAAATAATAAGTAGATGATCAACAAACCTTCCGGTCTGTCTTTAAGGAAACAGGGATTTGTTTCTGGCAAAACCTTCCATCATATTCTCCGGGTATCTTTATTTAAATCTTTGGTTAAAGTGGCAGGCACCCTAGTGGAATGAAGTGTTCTCAGAGGAGGAACTATAAGACCTTATTCAGCTCATCTAGCCATGTGAGACCTGCCCCTCGCCTCCCAGCGTGAACAATCATAGCTATTACTTGACTGATAGAATTTTGATGGACTCATCTGCCTATGTGTGTTCTCCGGATCCTCGTCCAGCATGAACTAGCTATGTGCTGTGATCAACATGCCTGCCTGCTGGCTTTTTGCAGGCAGAAGAAATCCTACAATAATTTTCCATTCATTTCCACTGGCATGAAAATTAGGATTCATTGAGGCTCTTTCCATGTCCTTTCTTTGTTTTTTGTGAATATTTTAACCAAAGAATTTTGGAAGGAAGAACAGCATGTTTTAATTGAAAAGTAGAGAATTAAGTGTTTGGATTGTAGTTTCATGATTTAAGGAACTACTCTCACCCGGTCATGGAACAGCACCACTACCCTGTGCCCGATGTGTCCATGAACCAACACAGCTTGACATTCACAGTGCTGAATATAGAGACTTGCATTTTGAGGGCAAACAAGTATGGTCCATAGCCTCTGCTGCATTAGGTCCATTTTGCAATATGTTTCAGACAGAAAGCAGGCCCATAGCCAACATATGCAGCCTGAAGAGGACCATCCTGGCAGAGGAAATCCTCCAGACACTGAGTTGTCATGATGGATCCTATGGCATTGCTTTCTCTGCTGGCTTTGCCAAGAACTGAATGATTATTTCTTATATCCCAGTGATTCTAGAGCTGCTGTAGTAGCTCCTTGGAGCCCAGGGCAGATTTAGGGGAGGGGTAGGCTACAGGGGGAATGCACTGGTGCACTTGCACCCCACTCTGATTCCTAGTCCATCCCAAGTTTAAAGCCAACAGCCTGGCAGTGGCAGGGGCATTTCTATTCAGGCAGCTGAAAATGAGTGAGTTGACTTCATTGGCTTATTCATGGCTTCATTTGCTTAATTTCTTCTAAATC